ACCAAATTGTGCACCTTTATTTCAGTGTCATCTACTACAGCTTGGTTTCTTATTCTGAACATCTAAATATTAATTTTAAAAAAGATCATTGTCAGATCGTCATCATAGAAATCCATTAAAACATTAGCAGATTCCTTACCTGTTCCTAACCAAGTGTTTTAACCCTGCTGCTGATATGGTGCACTCCACTCACATGATCCATCAGAATGACCTGTAGTGCTTGTCTGCTGCAGAGCCATCATTTACTGGTTGCTGTAGTGCTGCAACACGTACCGTGTATATGAGCGGGTCTAGCTCAGGTTACCTGGCCGTCTCTGAAGCATGCTCAGTAGAGCTGGCTGTTACCTGAGAGGAACAGATGTCATGTCTGACTTGGAAACAGAGCCTTAAACTTCGTCTTAGTTTTTTCGTTGTTTGTTTTGTTTATCTTAATTCTAAGTATAAGTATCACTGTCTAGAGTGACTGCAACTGAAAAGATGCATTTTTTTTACACATTAATTACTATTTGCTTTCAAAGTGAGGATTTTCTATTTATGTTTAACCATTTTTGTGTGTGTGGCCACTTATGGTCTTTATTTGTAATATATGCACCTTCTTCCCTTCCTGTCATTCTGCATTTCTGTTGGTTGCCCGAATGAATGTCACAAATTTGACCATGGCAAGCAAAAGTGCTCCATGCACTTTCACCACGCTGGACTCAGCACATTGTAACTGCTATATCTGAATCAAAGCCAGTCTTGAGATTCTGGTTCTCTCTGCTATGTATATGCTACATTACACTGCATTTAAAGATGCTCTAATTTCCATTTTTAAAGGAACTAAAGACCAACTTAAAGCTGGAGGACATTCACTGATGTCAGGAAGTGATGCCAGTAAAAATACAGATTTTTTTTCTTTAAATAACACTAAGCAGCAAACAAATTAGTTACCAGGAGGTAAAAATGGTACATTTTTCAAAATGAGCAATCGGCTAATTAAATTGAGAAAACATGCTATTTTAAGAAAGAAAATAAGGTGATTTTGAATTTGATGGCAATGACATGTTTTAAAAAAGTTTGGACAGGAAGAGTATGTAAACATCTGGGAGCTGAAGACACCAGCTGCTGGGAGAGGACTGTTGTCCCATTCTTGTTTGATATTGGATTCAAGTCCTGAGTCTGCCATATAATATTTGCCATATTTTACATTCATGACAAATAGAATGTTTTGAACTGGTGAAAGATCCAAACTGTAGGCAGACTAGTTCAGCACCGGATCCTCCTACTACAAAGCCGTGCTATTGGAATAGATGCAGCTGATCTCGTTTATTTACATTAAAAAGATGTCATCTGCATGCATATGTTGGTGTTGGTCATAATTAGGGATGGGTATC